GACTCGCCAGGCCCGTCTGGCCGCAACATTGAAATGGGCATGGGCTCGCCCTTCCGCGAAGCCAAGGCGCGCACCATCAACGCGCAATTTGAGTCGTCGGCCTACTCTCTCGACCGCCTCTTCACCGAGAAGGAACTCAACATGGCCATGAACCAAGCCACCACCGCCGCTTCACACTTCTTTGCGAAGATGAAGAACGCCGACACCGGCGCAAACCAAGAAGCCACTACAAACGGACACACCACCAACGGCACCGTTACAAACGGCGACCATGCCTCCGAAAACGGCGACATGATGGACCAAGACCAAGACTCAGACGACATCCCAGGCGCAACCGACATGGCCCGCCAAATCTCGTCCAACCCACACGTCACGCGCGGCGCAACCCGCTCCGCCTTCCACCCCTCCATCGCAAACGGCCACATCCCCTTCATCTACAACCCGCCCTTCGTCCTCGACGCCAAAATCTTCCAAAAAGCAAACGCCGCCGCTCCCACGCCTCCCGCCCTCTCCGCCTCAGACATCGAACAAGACCTCAAACTCATGCTGCGCGACGCACGCCCCGACGACGAACTCAACGAGCGCCTCCTACAAGCTGCGTGCAACCCCGTCAAAGCGCGAGATTACCAGGTCCAGCCGCCCAGCTTCCACGAGCCCGTGAATGAGATTACAAGCCATGTGCGCAGCGTGGTGCCGCATTTGGAAGTCGGCGGCGCCGGCTCTGGTGGTGGGGGGTTCGGCGGCGTGCCGATGAGTGCGCAGAGTAGTATGGCGGGGTGGAGCGATGCTGGTGGAAATACGCCGGTCGGGAGGTTTGGTGAGAGCTCTGGACATGCACATGCTGGTGCTGTGCCGATGGCACGGACGGCGAGTGGGAATGGGAGGGGACGGGGGAGGGGGAGAGGTGGTTAGACTCATGTCCTTTTTTACGTTGGAAAGGAGGGTCTGGCTGCTTGTTCTTCGCTTTCCGTCACGTCTTCCTTTCGTTATATACCCTGGCGTTTTTCTGGCATTGGTTTTGCATCGCGTGTGGCGGTGCATTTGAGGTTATTGTTGTTATTGTTGGTCGGTGTTTGCAAGACACTTTTTCACATTTTACTTTCCTTTACGCTATGTCTCGCTCGTCGTACTTGAGCATGATCTGTACCCTTCATTGCGCGTCTTTCCAATCGATGAAGATAATGTTTGCTACGTGGGATGAGTAGGATCAATGCAAAAAGCGTTCACTACTTTGATGGTGTCACGCAATGATGTGGTTGAAGCTTCGCCAAGTGATGGCATGTGCAGTGATGTGATGGTGATATGATGCTCGATTGGATAGCTTCTGCATGTTTCAAGGAATGTATGCATCATGTTCTACTCCACCACCTGCCAACTCTCCTTCCAATCGATACCACATCTCGTCACATCCAGCTCCACTCCACCATATGTTCCACTTGTGTTGTTGAAGACAACTGCCGAGCCACGCGTCTGAGGATCAAGCGCAGAGGGTGAACGTCAAGTCCTTCTCGCCGCCGAGGAATGCTTGAGTGCGCGTCGAACCAACATTCCCATTCCAAACAATGGACGGGGATCCGTTGCCCTTGAGGGTGATTTTCTTACCCAAGTAGTCGAAGTCTCCAATGTTGTCGAGGCTGTAGTAGATGGACACGCCTGCCTGATAGCTGTATGCGAACTGCAAGACCGACTCGGCGCTGGCAGCTTTGGTGAACTTGATGGCGGTGCCCGAAACGAGGAAGAACTGTGCTTCGTCGACAGATTCTCCTGGTGAGATCTCCACGGGTAGGGTGGCTTGCTGGTCGCCGCCCACCTGGGTGTACCAGACGGAGTGGTCGCAGTGGTTGGCAAGCGTGTTCGTGGCGGCAAAGGCAGTGCTGGCCACGAGGGCGAGGGTGGTGAGAAAGTTCGTGACACGCATGGTGATGGTTGTCGGGTTGTGCTTGAGAGCGACAGTGATGGTAGAGTGGAAGAAGCGAAGCTCTTGGTGCGAAGCTGAAGGTAGTTGCGTTTGGTCTGGCTTGCAGGTTTTCCCTGGTGCGCTCTATCCCTCTTATACAATATGATGAAGATTGAATGGTCCGATGAACGTCGCGGACTGTTACCAAAGCAAAGCCTAGGAATATGGAAATGAGCCATGTACGATGATACTACGTCGATTGCAGCGCTGGACACCCAATAGCGATGAAGATCTAGGTGACGCCTACTGCGATCGCCCGTTCTGTCCGGTGTAGACGTGAGGAGGGTCAGATTTCGCGATGATAGCACTTGGCATTGGTGAGGCAAGGCTCTGTGATGATCCATATGTGTTGTACAAAGAGCAACCCGACCGCGCTGCTGCAGCACTAACGCGTTGACGCAGGTACATGCAGGTGACATCCGCGTGTTTAGACCCTTGAGGAACCGTAGTATCGTATGAAAGCGAGGAGAAGTTGAAAATTAGACGGGAAAGTGCTCCGACTGAAAATTGAAAGAGTGAGATGGTCAGATGGAACATCTTAGCTCGCAAGGGAGTAAGGAAGCTACGTAGCCAATACTGTTGTGAAGAAAGGCAATCACGGACGTGTTGCTACGACCGGCCTGTCAACTGCCATCAGTAGGTGATTGTGTTTATCCTTTCGCAGTAGCCAAACTCTAGGTCGTCATGAGGAGTCGTCGATATGCAAAGGGCGGAGGGCTGAGTTCGTGGCATAGCGGCCGATAGCATCATGGTGCAAGGTAGGCCAGGGTGCGTGGCAGCTGCGCAATGGCATTGGCGGCAGGGGAACGTTGTGATTAGACAGTGACTGGAGTGAGGGATGTTTGCGTAGATGAGCAGGTCAAACAAGCAAGGGTGTTGAGGATGAGTGCAAGGTACGATGGTGTGTCGAAGTTGGGCGCAACGGCCGAGAGAAGGGGAGGTGCGATGGTCTGATGACACACTGGCACGTGGACAGCCTCCAATGGTAAGACTACCTAGGTAGGCACGACATAACCACTTCGTGACGAGCGTCGCGGGAGGTGTAAAACAATTAGATATGACTTGACCTAAACTGATGTTGGAGATGTCGGAGAGAAGATGACCTCAGCGAGGCGTTAAGCCGGCCTGTACCGCGCCGAGTCACCTCGGCTCAGCTCCCCACTCCACATTCCGGGGAAGGGAAGCTCTCTTGCTGCGCGGACCTCGGAAAGTTCGCCGCCATGTTACAATTCATTTCGGCACGGTAGAGCACCTCTGCTTTCAAGGTAAATTTCTCGCCTTCCACCCCGTATCTGAGCCATGTCGTCTGCTGCCCTCCGCACATCCTTGAAGATGGCTTCACGGCCACAACAGCGACTCGCCAGCATTCAAAGACAGTTCAGCAGCTCGGCAACGGCAAGGAAGGAGATTAGGGATGCATACATCATAAGCGCCAGTCGGACACCAACGGCAGTGGTGAGTAGCAATATCCGTGAAGTTTGGAAGGGATGCTGACCTGTGGCAGTTCAATGGCAACTTCACAACGGTATCTGCAACCCAGCTTGGCGCGACGGCGATCAAGGATGCCCTCGAGAAGTCCAAAGTACCCGTATCTTCCATCGATGCCGTCTACATGGGCAACGTGCTCGGCGCAGGCGTCGGGCAAGCACCAGCACGACAAGCCGCCATCTTCGCCGGCCTGCCCACCAACATCGAGGCCACCACGATCAACAAGGTCTGCGCATCGGGTCTAAAGGCCGTGAACATCGCTGCGTCAACCATCGAGCTCGGTCAGGCAGAGGCACAGGTGGCAGGTGGTATGGAGAACATGACGCGAGTTCCATACTACCTGAACCGCGCAAGTCAGCAACCTGCATTCGGACACCAGAAGCTGCAGGACGGCTTGATCGCTGATGGACTGTGGGACGTATACAACCAGATTCACATGGGCAACTGCGCAGAGAGCACAGCGAAGAAGTACGAAGTCTCGCGGCAGGACCAGGACGACTACGCCATCGAGACCTACAAGCGCGCACAGAAGGCATATAAGGAGGGCCTGTTCAAGGAGGAGATTGTACCTGTTACGGTCAAGTCAAGGAAGGGCGACGTCGTCATCTCAGAAGACGAGCAGTACAACAAGCTCAAGCTGGACAAGGTCTCGACGCTGAAGCCGGCCTTCGAAAAGGGTCCAAACGGCACTGTCACAGCTGCGAACAGCTCTCCGTTGAGTGACGGCGCATCAGCGCTGGTTCTGGGAAGCAAAGAGATTGCACAGCAATACGGAAAGGACAGCCGCGTCCTAGCAAAGATCATCACTTACGCAGATGCTGCAGTTGGTACGTCAAGCCCCTCTGAATCATCTCCCCACACTAACAGTCGCAGACCCCATCGACTTCCCCATCGCCCCCGCCTCCTGCGTCGAGAAGCTGCTCAAGCAATCCGGCCTCAACAAGGAAGACATCGCCATCTGGGAGTTCAACGAGGCCTTCGCCGCTGTCATCAAGGCCAACGCCAAGATCCTCGGTCTGGGAACTGACAATGTGAACCCACGGGGAGGAGCTATTGCACTCGGCCACGCGCTTGGTAGCTCGGGTAGCAGGATATTGGTCACGCTGCTGCATCAGTTGGAGGTTGGGCAGTACGGTGCTGCGGCGATTTGCAACGGAGGAGGTGCGGCGAGTGGCATTATCGTGCAGAGGGTAAGTGCGGATCAGCTATAGTGTCACAGGGGAAAATAAAGAAATAAAACATGCATGACAAGTTGATCAAGTCCACTTATTAGAAGCGTCATCTACTAGATAGTGCGACTTCGATTCTAAGTTTTTACGTGACTGCCACCTCTAACCTATCTCATACCTCCAACATACTTCAACCTACATCCATCCAGACCCCTTTGAAAGCTGTATCACATCTTCTCCCCCTCCTTCTACCCTATTTCTCGTCTTCCCAGTTTTGCGGCTCAGGACCTAACTAAGCACGTACGTACACCCAAAGTATCCATCACCCGCTCACCACGACCACCACCAAAAAATCCCCAAACACTCACTCCTAGCCCAAAAAAAAACGACGTGGGCAGGAATTGAACCTGCGCTCCCAAGGGAATAAGATTTCAAGTCTTACGCAATAACCACTCTGCCACCACGCCTGGTCTTGTATGGAGATAACAATGGATACGAATTATGTGTACTGAATAGAAAGTAGTGCAGGACTGGGAATTAAGATACTTGTAGGGACTTATTGAGAAGGGATTGTGTGATGTGATGTGGTTTGTGGGTGCTTGGTGTGAGGCGAGACGGATAGATGCAGGATTGTGCTACTTGAAGACTTTGTTGAGATGGGAGGGCAAGGAGGGACGCGAAAAACGGTGGAAGTGTGTGAATGGCATTCAGTTAACAAGGTTCCTGGGCAGAAGTAGTGAAGAACGTATCGTGATGCTGCATCGCTCCGAGCTCGTGGTGTGTCATGCGTCACTCTTTCACCACGGCTTTAGGGCTGGTTTGGGTATGCTGTTCTATTGTCATTACCATGTATTAGAGCTTTACTTTCCAAGCTTCCAGACCGTGACGCGTTTTCGTAAAAGGCAAAACCTCCACCTCTATGCTAACGCCTAATCCCTTGAAAAAGATTGCCGGCGCTCATTTCATTCCTTTTCCACCATGCTGCAAAAACACCCAGCACACCTCAATGCCCATCCAATCCGTCTAACACTTCCCAAACACATTAAGATCCAGGTCCAAATCAAGGTCCATATCCATCGCAAAGTTCATATCGTCATTGTCCCACGCCATAGCATTACTCCCTGACGCGCTAATCGGAATCGTAGAGTAAAAATCCGCGCTCGTCGTCGGATTCTGGAAGTCCTCAGGCAGCTGGTCCCAGCTGGGAAAGTCGAAGGTATTTGCATCCACAACAGCCATATCGCTGTCGGTACACGTGTGTTCTTCGATGGAGGGCATTTGAAACTCTTCGGTCAGGCATGCTTGCTCGTCCAGGGGAGAGAAGGACTTGAGACCGACTTTTGCACACTCGTAGATCGATTCGCCGGCGGCTGAGCACTGGGCATTGAATGATGTCAGTCCAGTGATATCCTCGGTCCTCCAGTATGATGATTTCTTTCCGGATCCTTTGATTTGACGGATGGAGAAACCCAGCTCGCCATTTTCACCATAGCATGGGCCGTCAGGACCGGTACAAGCAAGTTCTGGAATCGGAGCATAGACGCCCATTATTTGCTCGCCGGTCGTAGCTGAGATGCGGGAGTTTAGCGACGTCGGTGATAATGAGCTGGATCCAGAGGGACCGGCGATGCTGCGGGGCGATTGTCGTCCGGATGAGATTTGGCGTGCGTGGTTGGTGAGGTTGGTTGTGCCAGACAACGCGCACTCGAAAGACACGGCGCGATCTGGATGGTTTTGGGACATACTGAGAACACTAAAGTTCTCGACGTTGAAGCTAGGGTCGAGGATGCTGTTCGAGTGTATGCCAAGATCTTCGTATATCTCATGGTGTGCAGTGATGCCTGTAGACTTAGTCAGCCTCAATGTCCGCAGTATAACTTGTATAATATGGCGGACAAGGCATGAAAGGGTTGTGTAGAACTTTACTCACCCGTAACCGGAGCTGTGATATCGATCCCGTGCGCCTTTTTGAACAGGTTCAGCCACTCTGGGTTATCGGCGGCGGTTTGCTCCCAGCCATCAGCTTCACCGTACAATATCACACGAGCCTCGTTTTGGAGCATTTCGTCCGTCATAGAAGCGACCCCATGCTTCTCGATATACTGGCGGGCAAAGCGGCCAAGACGAAGAGTGAGGATCTCCCAGCATGTTGCATTCGGATTCACTAGTGGATGCTCTGAAGCGGAATAATGTTGCGGAGTCGACAGAAGGATTGGTCGAATGAGATTGGAGTCGGGGTTGCCTTGATAGGCTATGCCCAGATCGGCGGAGGCAGCCATGTTCATATTGCTCGGCAACAGATACTCCAAGTCTTTGGTCTCAAGCTGCATGTGAGTTTGCTGACTTACGTTAGCCTGACGATGTTCGCGAGAGACTGCTAAGCGATTGCATGTGTTGATGTAATCGCCAATCTGGAGGCCTACCTTCAAACTGGAAGAGTTGCTCGCAGAGAATGGAAAGGGCGATTTGCTCTCGTTGGCGATGAGATATGGTGGCATTGCGTTGGTGACATGTATGGCGACATGAGCGTCAAGTCCTCTGCATCCCTTCCAAGTTTTCATGTCTGCACCGTTGCGAAATTCTTTCGCGAGATGGTCAATGCGATCTTGCCCTGAATACTGGTCAGCCAATTCCAAGCATCAGTAACACCTGGCGCGTCTCGTAGCGTTTTGTTACTAAGATTGGCAGCCAAAAGAAAAGAGGTTGTAAGCTACATCAGGTTCGCTTGAAGCACCTGAGCACCCATGGATTTACTCACATTTATCGAAACTCATCTGGCAAAAGCCACACCTAGATTTGATGTACTGAGCTTCAGACTTCCACGGCTCCATGCTGGCGGTCATCTTGCAGCCATGCATCAGCCGTAGGTGCTGCCTGAGGTGATCCTTCCTGTAAAATGTTCGAGATTCGAGACCCTTCTCCTCGCAGCCGCCATGGTTGTGCGCTGCTAAATGCTCATCGGTAGGTTCGAGGTCGTCACAGTAGACACATTTGCGCTTACCAGTTGCCTTGTCAACAATGATTGGGCCCAGGGGTGCGCATATCCACTTCTCGAGCGAGAGATGGAGACTCTTTTCGTGACGAGACCAATCATACTTGGACTTGAATCGGTCGGTACAGAAGGTACACTGAAATAGCCTGGAGGCTTCGTTGGGGTCTGCTTTCGGCGCACGAGTGGGAAGTCTTCGTCGCCTTCGCCTTTCCTTCGACTTCAGGCTGTTCATCGATCCAAGGGAGTGTCGCGAACCATACGAGTAGGCCGAGTTATGTGATCCGAGTGATCCCGAGGACATGCCTGTAAGACCAGTTTCTAATGAGGAGACTGAGGGTGCTTGGAAGATGGACATGCTGCTAGTGCTGTCATTTGAGGCACCTTTTCGGTAGCTGCTCCCCCTGCTTGCTGCTTCTGGAGGGCCAAACTTTTCGACGGCCTGCGCAATAGCGGTCATAGGTGCAGGTTCGTTCTCAGGAGGAGAGTGCTTCCATCGCTCGAATGGATCTATCGCGAGTTAATTGAAACGGTTCTGCTGTTGTACGACCGGCAGCTTTTGAGAGATGCCGACCTGAGAACCTTCGGCGCCTCCCTGGCATCCGTCCGTCACTCGGAAGGTCAGAAACCTCCCAGTGACAGCAGACGCCATAAATTTGTGGGCTTTACGAGTCTCGGGTTTGGTATACGTACTGAGTGACTCCCAAGTCCTTCCTGCAGGAATGTCGATCGCTTCGGTCGACGGACGAATACTCGGTGATGAACTTCGCTTGGGGCGCGCTTTCTGCCTTCGTCTTGTGTTGGCCATCCAGTTGGAGATTTGACCAATCGACAGCCCGGTTTGCTGCTTGAGGAGCTCCTTGTCCTCGTCAGTTGGATAGGGGTGATCAAAGTGCTGCATCATCCAGTCCTTCAAAACCTTGAGTGCTGGTCGTGGGAAGCGGGCGGCTGCTGCTCCTTTCTTAGGCCGCTCTTCCCCTTGGTTGTTGTCATCATCGATGGGGCCCATGTGGCCCAGAGAACGCATTTGCTTCTTTCCGGTTAGTCCACCGAAGCATCGCTCATCGTCTTCGCCCACAACGTCTAACGTATCAAGGGCAGTGTTCTGTTTGAAAGCTGGTGACTTCTCCACGTCGGTGAAGCTGCATGGCCGAAACAAAGCATTGCACGGCGAGCATCGTACCCGGCCTGAGCCATCGCAATCGTAGATAAAACATTCGAGGCCTTTTGAGCGACAGTAGTCACATGAATGTGCCGGTTTCTGGTATCGGGGTAGGTGTGTTGAAAAGTCGGTGTTGAATTCTGCACTGGTGTTCGTGATATCTTGGAGTTCTTTTTGAGTTAAGTAGCTACTTCACATCAGTATTGAGAACGAAGCCTCCAAGTGCAAGCAACTGAAACACAAGAGTAATGCGGAGATAGTCAAGCTTTAGGAACCAGTGATGCTTTTTGTTGATCGGATGACACCAAGCTAAGGGGTGTTTAGAGAGATATTCACTGACCCTTCGCCAAGCTGTATGGTTGAATTCTGTTGCGAGGCTCCTTGTTGCACGTCTGGAACGGCCGCTTCCCCGAAATCGAAGTATTGGCCCATATCGGAGGCATTTGGAGTAGCCATGATGACGGCTGTCACCTTAGACTCTCGGATAGGCGAGTATTACCCACCTCGGCTGGGAATAAAAACGACAAGCACGCCTTTCGGTCGGATGGAGTTGTAGAATGATCAAAGGGCGTGAAGAAAAAGACATAAGAAGTGCGCATGCCTTAGATAAGAAAGGCTTCTTCATCATCCAGATCCAGTCATCCAGTGAAAAAGCCATAGGGCGCACGGACCAGATGTCAAACCGAAGGGCGCGTGACAGATCTGGGCTACTGCACAACGAAAGAAACGGGCCCCATACCGCTTAGTCAGGCTCCCAAACCGCCGATGTCGCCTTCAATGGCACGCGAAAGTGGTGACAATGAAATGTGGTGTATCTGAGCACTTCCTGGCATTCGGTACACTGTCCTGAGATCCTATCACCTCACTATCCATTGTCGCACTTGGAGTGTTACGGTATGGGAAGATTACGAGGCCGACGAACACCGGCAGACTCCAATTCCGCCCTACGTGGAGCTGACAAACCCCACTTTCGGCTCTGCATGACCGCAGCCATCTCGAGCAACTAAGCCACCAAACGCTTATGGTTGGTCGGAGGCAGCTCAAAGGATAGCGGTCTGGCTGGAACGGGCTTGAGCTGTGTCCGGGGAAAGTTGGAGATGCATGGGAAACTGCGAAGGTGGTTGTCGATCCCTGAAATCTTACTATATGACAGAACGACATCGCATGCTGCATATCAAGCGATCAATCTTGTGCGAAGAGGCACACGATCTTCTGTCCAAGTGAGACTTTGAAACGCGAGATACGGGCTGGAAGGAGGGCGATGCCGGAGTGGCCTGACCCGAAGGTACCTACGTACTTCGTAGTGCTCTTGACAA